ACCCCCAAACCTCCGCCTGGCCAAGCAGCACCCACCTGCCCACCCAGGGTCCCCCAGCACCCATGGGTGCCCCCCACACCTCCACAGCCTGAAGTCAGCACCCAGCGGAGCTCAGCCTTCTAATTAGGATGCTCAGGGGGTAATTAGCAATGCCTGGTGTTAATTAGGGGCCCTGGCTTTAATTAGGGGTGCTGGGAAGGAGGTTTGGGTGGGCACCCAGTTTTGCAGGGAGCTCCTGCTGCAGATAAATTTTTAAAAAGCTTAAAAAGGAGCAAAAAAGGGTTAATGTTTACAAAAAAAAAAAAAGTGGGGGGAAAGCCCAGTTTGGGGTTGTTTGCAAACAGCCCCTCCCCAAAGTGGGTGCTGCTGGGTGGGGGGGCACCCTGGCACCCCTCTGCTTACAGAGGGAAACCCGGTGCAAATCTCCGGGGGTTTGGGTCAAGGGCTGGGTGCTGGAGGGCTCAGTGGGGGATCCCTTGGGGGTGTATGAGGGTCCCGTGGCAGTGCATGGGGGGCCCTTAGGGGTGCCCTGGGGGATCCCTTGGGGGTGCCATGGGGGTCCCTTTGGGGTGCACGGGTGTCCCATAGGGGTGTAGTGGGGGATCCCACAGAGTTGCAACGGGCATCCCACAGGAGACGCATCGCCCCTCGCCCCGCTTTGGCCAAGTGACCCAGACTCGATCGCCTCCAGATTTGGGGCATTGGGTGGGTCCCCCACTCACCATAGCTGCTGCCCCGCTCCCGCCAGCCTCGGCCCCCGTTGGGGCGAGTGCCCGCCTGAGCCCCGGCGCAGTTTGTTACGCCTCCGCGGCCTAAGGAGGGTGACGGAGGGTGACGAGCAAAGGATGTACCTGGGATGGGAAAACCAATGGGGCCGACTGGAGGGACGGGCTTCCTCGCTTGCCTCCTTTAACTCTTTCGGGGGGCCCCAAACCCCATTTTGGGGGTCCCTGTGTCCCCCCCCCCCAGCTGCTGCAAACATCCCCCCGATAAATCGCCACAGCTCTCTCGCCAGCAGAGGGATGCAGCGTTTCTCCTGGGAGCGTGCAAGCGTGCGATCCTGCAAGCGCACGATCGTGCAAGCATGTAGTTTGCAAGCATGCAAGTGAATTATACTGCAAGCGCCCAATTCTGCGAGCACGCGGTCGTGCAAGCATGCAACAGTGCAAGCGCACGCTTGTGCGAGCAAGCAGTTTTGCAAACAGCCAAGCACGCAGTTGTGCAAGGACATGCACACATGTAACTTTGCAAGCACGCGCACGGGTGACTGTGCAAGTGTGCAAGTGCACACTCGTGTGCAAGCTTGCAAGCCTGCAATTGCATGCGAGCACACAGGCACAGAGTCATGCAGGTGTGCACACACCCAGTTGTGCAAGCCTGTGATTTTGCAAGCGTGCAAGCTTGTAAGCATGCAAGCAAAAACCCCCCCCCCCCCCCCCCCCCCCGGGTTTTTAACCAGCCACTCAAAAGGTTTTGGGGTTCAAGCGTGGCTGGGTTTGTGCACGTGGCCTTGCAGCAAGGAGTTCCCCAGTTTGTGGCTTTCCATGTGCTGGGCTAACGAGCTTTTTTTTTAATTAGCTTTTCATCACCGGTGGCCACCCACGACTGCATTGCATGGGGGGGGACGGGGATGGGGGGGGACGGGGACGACATGGTGCCACCACCTGGGACCCCTGCACCACACTGGTGGGCTAAGCACTGATGC